AATCCCTTATTCAAATACATCACTCATAAGGTGTTAACTCAAGATTGTTAAAATTGGCAACAATAAATATTCCAAAGAATTCCGTTTTGAAACACTGGGTACAAGCCACTCGACATTTCAGTCCCACTGAAAATCAGTAAAAGATGGGAGCGGGTTTGTAAAATAATGAGACAACCCACAATTATTAGATCAATATTTATTTTTTTTAAAGTCAAACTGTGCAACTTTCCATATTGTCCCAATATAAATTTGGAAACCCAACAGAAGTGAAGCTGGAACTCAAGTGTTTCAGATCATGTTACATGTGCTTACTATTATATAATTTCCCCTCTGCAGATTCAGAAATATTATATATAATATTCCAAAACTACTTTGGACATCTTTAGAAAAGTGTGATCAAAATGAATCTTAGCACTCATTCTTATTTTAATCAACCTGATAACATTTTGCAATTTCTTCCCAGAACAAAACGGTGGAGCAGTAATTCTGAACTGAAGCAGTTTTTATTTGCAGCCTGACAATGTAATGAAAAAAAGCTCTCCAGATAACCCAGACAAATTTGTGTCTTTCATAATCACTTTAATAGATATAGAAAATAGGCACAAACACACAACAAATACTACTCTTTTCTAGAACACCCCAACTACTGGAAATTCAGTAGGTGACCTTATTCTCCCATTGAAGATTTTAACATTTGACTGGGAATATTATGCCTGTCACCACTTCATTATGTTTTTACTTCTTCCACCGCAGCAGCCTCCGTGGTATATCGGAATTGTAAACAAAAATCCTGTTTACAGGAGGAACAATAAAAGGCAGGAAATACATATATTAAGCCAAATTTAAAATAAACCAACTGAAAAGGACTGATCCAGAGAGATTTTGAAATATGCCAATAACTAATAACAGAGATGGGACAAGCATTTGTCTGAAATTCTACAGGGTTGGTTTGGCCCAACTATCAATCCAAGCTACTAATTATTCAAATACATTTAAACTGTGTAGAGTCTGCAATCGTGGCAAATACAAGGGTATAGGGTTTCCTGCCTGAGCAGGGGGTTGGACTAGAAGACCTCCAAGGTCCCTTCCAACTCTGTTATTCTGTTAAAAGCTGGTATAGGGTTACCTGCCTGAGCAGGGGGTTGGACTAGAAGACCTCCAAGGTCCCTTCCAACTCTGTTATTCTGTTAAAAGCTCCCTGGGGAAGGTACTCCAAAGTGTGCCAACCATCTCAAAAATAACTCTCCTTTTCTTAGGTCTGAACGACTTAAAAGAACGAGAAGAAGAAAGAAGTTTTCATCGGGGAAATTTTCAGCGGCAGGCTGGCATCGTTCCCCAGGTTTAAGTCACCAAACTCTACAAGTATGCACACATCATCTCAAAGCAAATACAGTGGTTACTGGTTTAGGTTAGGTTAGGTTTATTAGATTTATATGCTGCCCTTCTCCCAAGGACTCAGGGCCGGCATACAACATTAAAAGAAACACATAATACAAAAGTTAAAAAAAAATTAAATAGAATATCCCAAACCCAATTAAAATTGACAATGACATTTTTTTTAAAAAATTCGAATTAAAATTAACAGTGATCAATAATTTATTTTGTTTTGTTGCTGGAATTTTGGAATTTTTCCAAATTTTGGAATTTTTCCTTTTCTTTTCTTTTAGCTCAAAACAGCACCCCGATTTCTTCCAGGTGTTTTCTCTCCGGGGAAACAGACTAGGTGGAGGCTCGATAACCTTTCACCAGTCTGGGGATATTTTTAAACCTCTCCAAGCTAAACCATCCCTGTAATCATCAACCAAGGGAACAGCTGGCTTTCAGGAGTTGGGGGAGCTTCACCACTGGAAGCTTTCCAGAAGAGATTGGACAGCCAGCTGTCAGATATGGTGTCGGGTCTTCTGCTTGGGCGGAGGGAGGGGGTCGGACTAGATGACCTACAAGGTCCCTTCCAGCTCTCTCATTCTCTGTTCTAATCAGCAGCGGGAGGGGGGGAAGGGAAACCCGGCGCTCCGACCCACCCGCGGAATTCTGCGAAGCGCCCAGCTCGATCATTCCCGAGGAAGGCGACCCAGGGAGACGGCAGGTCGGGCACGGCCACCTGTAAAAAAAAGCACCTGGCCCATCGCACCTGAGACGAGGCTCCCGCTCCGCAAAAGAGGGAGGAGCGGAGGGTGGGAGGAGGAGCTGAGCCGTGGCGGCGGTTTCATTGGACGAAACCCTCAGGGAGGAGGAGGAGGGGCTTGGCCAGAAGAGGCACCCAATGGGCTTGCCAGCCAAAGCAGGCTGGCGGCGAGTTCGGTGCCCACCTTGGCAGACCCACCCATTAGCCTCTCGGGGGAGGGAGGAGGAGGAGGTGTGTGGGGGGGGGAAGCTCCTCCCCCCCCCCTCCGGCCTTGGAATGGGCTGGCCCGTCAAGTCCCGGAGATGGAGAATGACAATATATACCACTAATGACAGCGGCGGCAGCTCGAGTGTTGCGCTGGCCGGCAGAGGACTCGCCCGCGTGGGCTTGAGAAGAGGATCCTTCGAGAGCCGGGAAGGCTCCTATTACGAGGGAAACGGACTACCGGTTTTCATCCCAACCGGGAAGGAGTTGCGCTTGGGCGGGGAGAGGGGGGCCAAAAGAACCAAGCCCCCAACGACTCAAGGATCGGAACTCAAAGCCGCTTCCAACTTCTCCGCCACCTGTTGCTGCTCCTCCACTCCGACCGCCTGGAGCAGCCGAACCAGGGAGGGAAGGAGAGAGAGGGACGGCGAAGCATCCCTGCCCTGGGAGTCGAACCCCCTCTGTAAGGGGGAAAGAGGGCTTGGCGTTTGAAAAGCGTGCCCCGATGGTGGAAGAAGAAGAAGCCGGCGCCCCAGAAATCCCAAGTCTCCCCGAAGTGCCAGGAGCGGAGCGATGCGCGCTGATTTGACTTTCTAAGAACGAGACCGTCGCTCGGCTAATAGGGGAAACAGCACCGCACCTGAGACGCGTTTTGGGGGAAGAAAAACTTACACCGCTCCCCTCTCACCCGAAATATATATATTTAAAAACATAGGGGACAGCAACTTTTCTCCAAACTTTTGGCCTTGGCTGGAATGAGCTGAGTTCGAGTTCCTTGATTTAAAAAACATAGGGGGCAGCAACTTTTCTCCAAACTTTTGGCCTCGGCTGGAATGAGCTGAGTTCGAGTTCCTTCATTTGAAAAACATAGGGGACGGCAACTTTCCTCCAAACTTTTGGCCTTGGCTGGAATGAGCTGAGTTCGAGTTCCTCGCGGGAGAGTTTGCAGAGGGAGGGAAAAAAAGGAAGACCACCTGCCGTTGTTTCGGAGCCACGCCCGACCTTTCCAGGGATCCCAAAGCAGAGACGACCTCGTCCTCTAGTCTTCAGCCCACCCCGCCCGCCCACTCCCCATTCCGAGACTTTGACCAGGTATATAGACATGCACCCCAACTGTTGATCCCGTCTCCCGGGGGGAGAGGGGGGGGAAATCGAAGCCCTAAATCGCCAGAACCAGCAAGCCGGCTCCTCAACCCCCCCAAGGAGGCAGGCAGGCAGGTAGGCGGGAAGAGCCTAGGAGTGGGGGGCGGCAGAGGAGAACCGAGCTGGGGGAGGCGCAACTATGAAGCTGGAGATCTTCGCTCCGCGATACGAGGACAAGCTCAACGGGCCCGGCGGCAGCGACCAAGAAGGCGGCGGCGAAGCTTCCCCGCGGGCAGCCGAGAGCGAGCTGGGCTCCGACGGGGATTGCGCGGCGCTCAGCCCGGCCAGCGGCTGCGGGGCTTCTCCCCTGCAGGGACCCCCCGAGCCTTCGCCTTCCCCGGGAGGCGAGGCTAAATCGGCGTCGGGCCTGTCCGGGAAGCCTTACACGCGCCGTCCGAAGCCCCCCTACTCTTACATCGCTCTGATCGCCATGGCCATCCGGGATTCGGCCGGGGGCCGCTTGACCCTGGCGGAGATCAACGAGTACCTGATGGGCCGCTTCCCTTTCTTCCGCGGGGCGTACACGGGCTGGCGCAACTCGGTGCGCCACAACCTCTCGCTCAACGACTGCTTCGTCAAGGTGCTGCGGGACCCGGCCCGGCCTTGGGGCAAGGACAACTACTGGATGCTCAACCCCAACTCCGAGTACACCTTCGCCGACGGCGTCTTCCGCAGGAGGAGGAAGCGGCTCAGCCGTCCGGGGCTCCCTTCGGCCGCCCGGGGCTCCCCTTCGGCTCAGCCCGCTTCCCCGGCTGCCGATCGGAAGACCCCCTCGGGGGAATCGGACGCGGGAGCCGTCGGGGGAGCCTCGACCCCTCCTGGCACGAAATTCTCCAGCCCCTTCGCCATCGAGAGCCTCCTGAGCCGGCCGTTCCAGCCTTCCGAGCGGCAGCCGCGGCCCCCCGCCAGGCCGGTGGGCGAACGGGCGGTGGCGTGGGCCGCCCCCGCGAGTTATTCCCGGCTCCTCGCTCATCCGTCCGTCTCTTACGGCGTCGTGCCTGCTTTCCCACTGGCGGCGGCCTCTGCCCTTTACCACTACGGACTCCCGGATCCTCTGCTGCTCGAGTCCTCCAAGGGGAAGGCTTCGAGCGCCCGCGACCCGCACCAGCCCTTCCACGCGAGACCCTCGTTCCTCTCCTCCCCACGGCTGTCTTCGGCGCAGCTGCAAACGCTGAGCGTTTCTCAGCTCTACTGCCCCCTCCGGCTGCCCAGCTCATTGCACCAGGTGGCGGCCAGTCATCACAACACCTTCAGGCCTTATCACCCGTCAGAGACTCTCTCAGTGTAACAACCCACGGGAAATGCTGGGATAACGTAGGGACAGGCGGGAAGTGTCTCTCAATGCACTTTTTAAAAAAAAAATCCAGACTCAGTACAAAGACTGTGCCTTAAAAGAGCCATTTTTCTCCTCCAGACAAAAAACAAAAAGCTGTATGTATATGTATATATATATACACACACACATCGTTTCCTGCGCATGATGGTTGTTTGAAGGTTGGTGGGGGCATCCGTCAGGCTGCAGATGCCTTGCTTCTTAAAGTGAATCTGGAGAGGTGCATCGGAGGATGGGAATCTTTTCTCCATGATTGTAAATAAAGCATATGCAGATCCTGAAGTAAGTCCGATCGAATTAATTTTGGGCTGTTTAGCAATAGCAGTTAGACTTATATACCACTTCATAGGGCTTTCAGCCCTCTCTAAGCGGTTTACCGAGTCAGCATATCGCCCCCAACAATCCGGGTCCTCATTTTACCCACCTCGGAAGGATGGAAGGCTGAGTCAACCTTGAGCCAGTGAGATTAGCAATAGCAATAGCAGTT